CTAATTTCAAATATACGAAACTATTAATGCAGATCCGACTCTCGGAAAAATATATGATCAAGATTTATGTTAATATTAAAATTGTGACAATTACTCCACAACTTGAGTGCAAAATGTGCAACACTAAAGAAAATGAAACACTTCATCGTATATTATTTAAATGCCCAATTTATAGTAGTTTAAAGTTAAGAATTTACCAGGGTATGGAAAATCTTGGTGGGATAGAAATATTTAAGCCAGCCAGTGCAGATGATATGAGAAAATTAAATTTTTATTTATCTCAATTATATCAAATTGGTGGTGTAATCTTGAATATTTTCCTCGGCATATTATGGCAAAAATTCCATACTGTACATCGTCATGTAATCTGGCCGGGTATTTTTCTTGTTTGTTCTCTTAGGTATAGGGGTTTTAATTTAATTTTAAAACATAGTTTAATATTAATATTTTAAAAATATGTGTACCCTACACCATGACCCTAATATCCCATTTGTCCTAGAACTTATTCCAGCGAAATTCTCCAAATACCACCAGAACCTTACCCATCATCCAAATCCCTTTGCACAATCTCTATCCAGCACCACTCATCCATATAATCCTCCAAGAAGGTTAAAACGGCAGTGGCCCCGCGACCTTTTATAGTTTTTAAATATTGGAGTTCTGGCAATGGCCAGATTCTCCACTCACGACATGAGGGTATGTGGCTTAAGCACTCTTGCTCAATCTCCACTGGGTTTACCCCCAGTGACGCGGTTGAGAGAGAAGTGCAGGGATCTCCTGGAGTCATGCTTTTCCCTCCACAGTTGGAGGGACAAGTCTGGTTTGGAGTTCTCTCGCCAGATTGTAAATATTGTATATAGGTATGTATGTGTTCATTTATTTTTAGGTTATTTTATTCTTATTTATTGTATATATATTATTTTTCTGTTTAATTTATTTTATTTATTGTACATAGAGTGTGAATGTGATCTGTGAACCCTATTATGAATGTCCTTGAGACAGAATGTAATATTTTTCAATAAATAAGCTTAAAATTTTTTTTTTTTAAATATGTGTATTTATTTATCTATGTTGTTGACCATTTTAGATTTTATATTAATTTGATGATTGGAACTATTTTAACTGTCCGACCTTTACCGAATACGATTTTTAATTTATGCTTAAGAATGTAGTGATAACTGTTGTGTAGTATAAAAATGAATTTGTATTTCCATAATGATAATAATGTTTGTTATTTTGTGATAGACACCATTTGTATAGGGTTCTTCCGTCATAACAAATAAAGATTGATTGATTGATTGATACTAATACAAATTACCAAGTGATATCTATAAATTTGAGACCCCATATCCCGGATAAAATTGATATTAAAATTTTGAGTAAACATAAACAGTTTAGCGAAATAAACGATTCATAAAAACGAGTGCTTTATGCGAATACATTTTTATCAAGAATTTATTGCCTCTTATTCTTTGATTTATTAACAATAAATAATACGAAAAATGGAAGTCTCCAGGTTAGGAAAGAGCTTTATCCCTTAGGAAGAAGTGGGCCTACGGCAGGGTTATCGCTTTCCGATAGCGGCTGGCCTCCAAGCACAATACAACCTCACCCACAATTCCTCTCCAAGCCACACCACAAATCCGGATGCCCTCGCATCTATTGTCCGCTTACGTCCTATACATTTCTCTTTCCGACGTAACCTCAGCCAATAACAAGAGCTATTTTCAAACCTCTTTTGTACTGAAGGATCTTCCAGTAATAAGAATACTGCATGAACAATTACTAACCTACACCCTATTGAATTCAATGACTTCCCAGGAGACTAATATGCAATAGGTACTCCTCTTCCAAGGAAATCCAGTAAATAAATTGAAAATGGTGGGCTTAATGTCATGTCCTCACTGGAAGGCAGACATGACATTAAGCCCAGCAGGTTTGTGATGTCACAGCAAGGAATCCTTGACAATATTCCTTCTTGAATATTGCCTTTTTTTTCATTATAAAATTGCAACTATACCTTACAATAGAATATGTCTTATTCTTCCCGGTTCCAACTTTTCCTGCTACGCAGCACGACAAGGTAGGTATTGAAGACTAAAATGAAAACCTCGTATATATTTTTCTTATTGGAATTCATCCATATGGGGTATTTTATTTATTACTAGTAATATACTAGGGATAGAGGATAGTCGATAGTTTTCCACTATTGATAGTACGATACTATTAATGAAGAACTACCGATAGTATCGATAATTCAGTAAATTCTCGCCACAGGATTAAGGACGATTTATTTTAGCTGTATTTTTTAGTTATTTACCTTAAATTGCGGCATAAGCTTCATAACAATAATTAACATTTATGCTGTATATATTTTTAAAGGTTTGTACAGATTCTCCTTCGTCCTTCTTCCAACCAAATGGTGTTAAAACAAGGAAGAGATGGTTCTCCTGAGGTCCTCCAGTGTTTCATAGAGATTGGTATCAAACGATTTCGGCTTATCAGACCAAGTCTTCCTTTTAGTCTCATCAAAAAGAACATAGCGACAAACTTATGTATACCTAACATTTGAATCATATCTCGTTCAGGAATTTTGTTGGATTCCCAAAATTTCATTTCCCCCAAGGAGGATTTGCTGGATATTTCGTCCATAACACGTTTGTTAATAAGATAGCAAGTTACATAAAGAATAATAACTCATGAACTACAATATGAACTAGGTAAAGAATAATTTAGTTGGAATCCATAATTCCTGTCAACTTTTAGCTGGTTGATAGAATACAGGTTGACAGATGTAAACTCACTTGATATGGTCGACTCGGATGCCTCCTGATTTCTGGACGGTATCAGTTCGGATAAGTGAGTATCCCATGCTGGATCTAAATCTAAATTAAACAACAAACGTTAACTACCTTACTGTTTTACGTCCTTTAAACTACATTGAATAAATAATCTTGTTGACTACACTAATATCAACAGTTTGCTTATATTTTGTTGTTTATTGTATAATAATCTTAAGGGAATAAGTTGACTTGAAAATAAGTGAGTGAACTAGATCTTAATTTAAATGAATAAAAGAGCGCTTTCTGTTTTATGCTCTTTAAAGTACACTAAAAAAGTATATTTTTTTAATACACCAATATCAACGATTTGCTAAAATTTATTTGCCTGTTCTGTATTTATCTTAGAAAAAGTTGACTAACAAATATGTTATAAAACATTATTATTATTATCTCCTGGCCATTCTAGGAATTAGAAATTATTCCTATTAGCCGGGCTTTCTCCGTTGTCCAATCCAATGCTCTGCATATCATCCATCAAAGCCGGGACCTTACTCTTCTTCTATTCCTTCTTACTTTGTCATATTGGTATAGTGGCTTTTTCGCGTATCTATCTTATCTCATTTTTCTACGTGCCCAAGCCGGTTTGATATATAAATATGACTATGTCTGGTTATACATTATCATTGATTTAACAAAAAAAAAAATCCAATGAATCACAATTAAAAAAAGGTACCGTAAGATGGGGTAACTTTGGGACAGCGGTTAAAATTTAGCTCGTGGTGATTCCGTGGTGGATACACTGTGTTTGTTCAGTCTGAAAAAACGTGCTTTGTGTAGGCATGTACTGCGCTACAGCCTTGCGGCACACTACTCTTGAGGCAACACCGCAAGCTTTATGAAAACAAGAAATTGGAAGATATGGTATAATATTATTGAAGTAATGTACATGCCTACACAAAGCACGTTTTTACAGACTGAAGACAGTGTATCCATCAGGTGATCAGATGGGTAATTAAAATTAGAGCTGACGTTTTGAACTTCAATTATAAACACTTCCAGCAAACAAATAATAATTGTAGCATGTGTAATACAAACGAAACAGAAGATCTCTCGCGATCACTTCCTGGCTGCTTGTCCGATTCTCTCTGAATTTAGAATTAAATGGTTAAAGTCTAGAAATTTATCTCGGGATCAAGTAATTGATTTATTAAATGGAAACAATTGAATAGCATTTGTAAATTACTGCAAGTCTGCTCCCTCCCACAGAATAATGCTCACCAGAGAATTTAATAATTAATAAATTGGAGAATTTTGGTACCACTGTTTTTGTAATTAAAATATTTGTATAACTTTTACATTGTAAATATAATTGTTCTTATTTTCCTATTAATTAGTTGTATATAGACCATGTAACACGTCTGATTTTCGGTTTTAAATCCAAAAATATTATTTTGTATCATTTTGTGATTTATATTTTGTTATTTTGATAAATAAAAAGACTTTTTCTTCTTCTCTTATTCTTCTTCAGTGTATTCATCACGGAATCACCACAAACTAAATTTTACTCGCTGTAGTACTCGCACCAGTTATGGCGAGATGGCCCAGTAATGGCCAGGACGGACTTTAAATGTAAATAATAAGCTTCCTTGTTGATTTAAAGGTTCCAGTTTTTTTCTTGGTTCAAGACTAATGCCCTCTATCGACATATGTAAGAACAAAGTTCCCAAAAGAAAATTATAAAATGCCTATCATTATTTTTTCTATAATGCTCGTGATATCGGCGTGATTCATACTTTCCTACTAAGAGTTTTGCTAAGGGTAATTTGAACATTTATGTTATCTTATCTTTATCATTATCTTTATAGTTAAATACTAATTTATAATTTTTCTGATGTCCATTACTGCTACTTACACCCTGTCGATTACTAGAACAATTAAAGTTCGTGAATAAGGCTTCTTTTTTAAATGGAGATACCTGCTTAACTGAATGGTTTTCAATTTTAAAGTGCTAAATAGAAAAGGGAGACCTTTAGAACCTCTAGTCTAAAGGTTTGACAGAGAAGTTTATAACTATAATAACTATAGTAGTTTATAACTATAGTAATTACGGCGACATAAGTCAAGAAAGACAATAATTTCCTCCTCTATGTCCATATGTCACTGGCGCGCATACTCTACTTATTTTTTATTTATTTATTTATTTTTTTTTTTGTGCAGATGAAGGACATCGAAGAAAAGTACACCATGTTTGAGGGTAACTCGACCATCTACAACCTCTCGTCGGCGGAGAACATGACGGACAGGAACATCTCTTTGGACTACCTCAACGTGACGAATGAGGTGCCTATCCAGTTCGCCGAGCCGATGTACGGCTATATCATGCCCGTTCTCCTCCTCGTCACGATCATCGCCAACACCCTCATCGTGGTGGTCCTGTCCAAGAGGCACATGCGGACGCCGACCAACGCAGTCCTGATGGCTATGGCTCTGTCAGACATGTTCACACTACTCTTCCCCGCCCCGTGGCTCTTCTACATGTACACCTTCGGCAACCACTACAAGCCCCTAAGCCCGGTAGGTGGCGCCTGCTACGCATGGAGCATCATGAATGAAGTCGTACCCGCTCTCTTTCACACAGCTTCTATCTGGCTCACTCTCGCTTTGGCTGTCCAGAGGTAAGTCATCATTTTTCAATCAAAGTTATTATTATATATCAAGTCTCTTAATCAATTCACCCAGAATGAAAAAAAAATCTGGGTTGATTTAATTCTAAATTTATTTATAACTCTATTAAGAATCTCTCTAACAGGAAGCATTTGTGTAATGGTAAGTTCCTTCTTTTTCTTTCGTAAGAAAACCATATCATTCTCTTAACCAGGGGATCTCCAGAAGGGAGTTACATGACGTTTCCAAAATTTTTTGAGGTGGACTTATTTGAACATTTGAACTTTCAGACTAATCTAATGACAAATGAAAAAAATAAACTACAATCTTTATAATTTAACTTTCATTTCTACATTATTTTAATAAGAGGACAGCAGGTCTTTCTCAATGACAAACGATTGACATGAAACCCAAAAAATATTCCCTTTACATAATAAGGATAAGCTAGGAAGCAGTGGCTCATGAATTGTATACGAACGTTCTGGATGATGTGCGCCGACGTGGTCCTCCGAAGGACCGATGGAGGGATGCTGTGTAGCAGGATCTGCGATAACTGAGGATTCCTGTTACCCTTGCAGAAGATAGAGAGAGTGGCTGGCGGCTGTTGAGCAGGCCAAGGATAATAAGAATACCTGCACAACCATGTGTCGATAACGAAATTGAGCTTCTTACTTTTTAATATACAGAACTGTCTGAATCTCGTGCTTAAAATTGTAGAGTTAGCTATCGAACATTAAACGTACATTATTGGACATTAACGTAGTAAGAATATAGTGAGATAATAAGTGTAAAACATAATACAAATTAAATGAAAAACATGCTACAATTGGTAATAAAGAGTTATAAAAAAATTTCTTGTAAAAATAATAATTACTGATGTAATAATAAAATGTAATTATATAACTGCAAATAACATACATTATGGACTCCACACCTCATTTGTCGTTACATCCAAGATTTTCGAATTTCATCAAATCCTTCTGACTGCTTTATTCCGTTTCTTGTTACCTCCAATTCCTTATATAATCTTCCTGAAATTTAAAAGACAGTAATTACTCCATCATCTTTTTACATAATTATTATAATTGCTGTACTGGCAATGATCAAATTATCTACTCAGTATAGAGTGTCTGCGGTTTAAGGCGACTTAAATGGGTCTCAGTTTATATGAGGGGGGAGGTTGAAACAGAATCACCATGGTTGATCCAAAATGAAGAGAGCAGTTGGTTTTTAAGTTGTTTAATCGGAGTAAAAATATTTTAGGTTTACTTATAATAATAATAAGATATGGACGGAGAAACCTATTTCTGTAGCTTATTCAATACGCGGCAAAAAGAAGCACGAAATGGCAAAAAAAAAAAAAAATCAAGTATGCAACTGAACTGAATTATGATCGCAACTAACACCATATTATCAAGCAGTCAATTTCGTTCCTGTTAACAATATAGATAATTACTGCTGTTAGTAAGCTAATAAAAGTATTGTTAAATTAATTAATTAATAACGTAATTACTAAAGTATGTGCGTATCTAAATCCTAGAATCGTAGTAAAATATTCATAAATATCTTAGCAAAAAAAAATCTCTAATGCTTACAATTGTTGAGATTTAATTTGGACTAGAATTATTTTATTTCGGGGGCCTTTTTTTCCTTGTCAACTTGTACTGACTGATACACTGATAATCCTCAAAAGCAAATTAATTTATACTACAAAGTGTAATGGAGAAACAACGGGGCAAATTGATATACGAGAACTAAAAAAAAAAGTTTAAAGGGGATTTTTCCACATCTCTTTGCCTGGGAAAGGATGAAAATCGCGTTAGTGGCCCTGGTTTTGAGAAGAGAAGCATTCATTAGATCGTTTAGCCAGGTATCGGTAGTGCTACGCTGATCCAATAAAGATGGCCGATCGTTAGAGGGGGGGAGGGGAGGAGTAATTCTACCCACCACCGCCTCTGTGATTAAAGTTATCGCTAATCACTCCAATGTCTCTAATTGTAATTAAAGGTAATGATAATGCAATTTTATTCAAGTTATCATAGTAAGTCCCTCGCTATTGCGCGATTGAGTGTCGCGATAGAGTCGGTCTAATTATTGCTTTACAGAGGATATTCTGTAGATATATGTAAATAATAAACGGCAATTACAAAAAGTCTTTTATGTGCATTTATAATGTAGCTAAACCTTAACGAACAATTTCTTCAGTTGATGTAACAATTTGAGGATATTAAAAACCAAAACAAAGTAAATAATCTTTGTAGTAGAAATATGAAATATTTAAAAAAACAAAACAATATCGTTGCACCAAATTGTCCAATCTCAACAATTTTTTAAATATGTTTTAGGAAATTTCTTAAATTTTTAAATAACCATTTATTCAAGTTTCATTGAAATGGGTACATACGTTCAGGCGCTACAGTCTATAAGAAACAAGTCTTTCGGCCGCCAATTTGAAAGGGAAGTACTTTTCGGTGAAGTATGTTCTATACATATATTTAAAGGGCATCGAGAAGAAGACTTTAGCCTAGTTTCATTGAAATAGGTAAATTCGTTTAGGCGCTCCAGTTTATAACAACACAAAAAAATTGGTCCACTAGAATGCGCGGAGAAAGTGCGCGGACGGCGGACGGAGTACGGGTGTGCACAACACCGCGAGTTACCCAGATAATAGATATGAGAGATTAAAAAAGTACGAGCTCACGTTCCGGTGAGCTCGGTAAGGGATTTTAAATTCCCCGGCCCGGGAAAATCCCGTATATTCCAAAAGGTGAGCTTCGGGAAGGACAAATATAAACAAAAAGACGGGGTACGGTGGACTGCCACATACAATACTTTTTTATTCGATTTTCGAGTTCTACGTATTCTGAAACGTAAAACCTCAAATTTTGAGGAAGGGGGGTTATGATTTGGAATTTTTACGACGATAACAATGGTTCATTATTGAAAATTAAAACCAAAAATTAATAGCAAATCATTTTTAATAATAAAACGAACAGAAATTAATGGTTCATGAAAAAAATTTGTCTCGGTATTAGTTTTTATTTCTGTCCCAATAACCAAAGCTCAAGTCTAATTTAGCTTATTCTTGAAATGAATATGGATCCTACATGATATCCCACAATATTAAAGATTTGCCTTATCTAACGATATTTCATCCCTCATGAATATTCATAATTAGGGTGCTAGAAACTTGAAAAGCAGCGGTTGTTAATGTCGCCCTTTAAAGTACTCAAAGCTGAAGTCTTAGTACTTACCGATTTGCGTCACTGTGACGTCATTCTACCCTTCTGTCAGTTGGTCATGGTGGAAGTACTCCTATTTTAGCCTCTAGTGGCTCTTCTTTAGTGATTGAATACCTGCACCAATCACTTGCTATTACGAAGTTCAGTTCAATTCCTCCGGCTTCTTTGAAGACCATCTGTTCAGACCAACTAGATTCCATCTCCTGGCTTAACTATGACGTAAGATTAGCTGAACCGTTAATCGATATAATTGTCCATAATTGCTAATTAATATGGCTTCAGGAAACAGTTGGGTTTGTGGTAACTCGGTTCCGTCATATAATCTGTAATTAGTACTGCACTAACAATCGTTGCGATCCAATGCGGATTATTACGTTCGCTAGTTGATTGTTATACTCCAATAGCTACAGTATTAAGTTATTGTCATGGGCTGAATGAATTCTCCAGTCAAAATCAAAATTCTTTGGAAAGGTATATAAGAAGTATTTTTCCCTCCTTTTTTGGATGGTACTTTGGAAATGTCAAATTAACAAAAATAGTTCTTAGAATTATTATTCCGATTGCCTTGAGTGCAGCTCCACACCACTAAAAAATGCTAGGGTCTCAAAATTAATGCGAGATCAACTGCTTTGCAATTTTCATTCTAAACTAAATTCTGGGCGAATTTTTAGCTGGCATCCCCTATTCTAATTGGCCAGTAGCCGATTCTCCAATGTTTGTGAGTTTTACTTTTTATATCTAGATACCTTTGTACTTCCAACAATAACTGTAAATATCAAATCTCTAGCGAGATGGTAATTTTTTTAACAACTGCCACTTGAAACGGGGTCAGGAATAATAATTCCCATTTATCTGATAATAACTTGTGGTTATTGGTTACAATGGTTAACAGTTAAAATGATACACCTGGATATAGTTCAATTTACATTACATTAAAAACAATAATTTATTGTAATCAATAAACACATTCTAGTAAAGTTCTTATATTATTTTTCATATATGTTTGATGTTCTTTTCTTATGTTATATTTCTTGATGTTGGGATGTATGGCGGCTTCTAAAGTAGGGATCTTTACTTTATAGTGGAAATAGTCACATAGTATAATGAATAAACATATTTATATAGAAATTTTGAAAAGAAATTTGGGCCAAAAAACAAATATTGTTTTATCAGAATAATGACCCCAAACACTCTGCCAAACTAGTTAATGAATGGCTACTTTATAACTATCCCAACGTTATAAAAACATCACCACATTCACCAGATCATAATGTGATCCCACCCGTGTTCGAAATTGGAAAATGCGAAATCTCTAGCAAAAAATACTTTAAAAAAATATCTTCTCGAAGAATGGAACAGGCTAACCCCGGAATCATTTAAAATTAACGGAATCATCAAAAGAAAAATTTAGTCGACTCCGTTATAAACAGACTGAAAGGTGTGGTAAAAAACAATGGCTTGCCTACATTGTGTTTTTTAGTATTTTTATCCAGTGATAGTAATTATCCATTTTTTTTTTCTTTTAATTATTCGCAGTTGAATGTTTTAATTTTATTTAAGGAAGGAGATGGTCCGGGGTGGCGGTCATAAATAGACTAAATAGTGGCAAAACTATTTTATTAAATGCCAACGTTTCGACCCTACCAAAGAAGAAGAAAAACAAAAAATAAGTAAATAAAATTAATAGAATAAAAATAGAGACTCACAGATGTGTTTTGTTTTTCTTCCTCTTTTTTCTTCCCTTTCTCCACATCCCTTTATGTCTATTA